CAGTATGTCTGCAAATCACAGGGGCATAGTCTTCCATCAGATATTTACAGTTTAAAATGATTCAGAATGAAACAGAGACGACATATAAAACGGAGACAGTAATCAAAAGCATAAACGTCTAATCTAAAGCTGCAGTTCATGAACACAGAAAAGGTCCAGTCCAAATGTCCAATGTATCTCAATTATGAAAAGTGAACAGATCATATCATAAAATTCGTCCAATTAAGATACTTCAAATTAATTTGGATTGATCCAAGCATCACATTGCATAATTTGTCGACACTTTTCAGGAAACTCATTCCACATGAATTCAAAACAAAATATAGCTTATATACAAAATAAGTTCTAGAAGGTAAGGTAGTCTATTACAAACCTGTTTAGTGTCTTCAGTTAGAGTGGTGATATCATCAATCAAGAAGATTTTGGGCAAGTCTGTTAGATTTGATACATATACAAGTGAAGTTGGAGCAAAGGATTGGATAAATGCAGGTTGCTTCAACCAATCTTTTGACAAATACGAACCGTGGTATCCATACTTCTTAAGTGTATCCACAAACTTGTCCTCAAATTTCTTACCATCGTGCCATTTCACCTGTTGAAGGAATCAATTTATAATTAGTACTAGTAAACAATTCTAAAAATTAACGCAGCAGTTATTCACTCCATACAAATATCTTTGCAAAAGATGGGAAGACCGAAAGAGTAAAGAAAGATGCATGTTTTTAAACTCAATACAATTCAAAGCAATCATACTTTTGCCTGGACAACTGTTTTTTGTGACAGCTTGAAGGAGAAAATAACTCACATGCTGATTGATAAATACTGGATTTTTTATCTCTGGGTATATTCCAACAACTCTTGGCGCATCCAATGCAATTGAAATGTACTCTTCAAATGTAATAATCGAAAATTTTCCTGAGCAACACACACAAAAAATAAACTTAATTATCGTTATTTTTTCTCAAAGTCAATAAATTTCTTGTATACTCTCGAAAAGAGCTTGAAACGTACAATATTGTGATGAACAATTATAGCATATAATTTTTAACAGGATTTAATGATTATAAAGCTGTGAACCCACAACGAGAAGTTTTTGGAATTTCAATTTTTGGGGCCCATGAAAAATGAAGGAAATGCAAATCAACTAATTGATCATAGAATTGTTGAACTAGATGTCAGATGTCACAGGTCAAGTGAAGGGCATACAAGACAATTATTATATCCTAAATCCTTTACACTAGAGTACAAAGTCCAAAGGTGCCAAATTAAATACTTCAAGTTTTTTTTGATAAAAAAATTTAGACACTTTCCTCTTTTGATGATCTTTAGAACAGTGAGAAATTATCGCGTCCACTGATATTTAAGATACTAAAAGAAACAATTGTCAGCCAGCTATGCATATGTGTACTGTGCAAGCAGGAGTGTTGTTATATCTAGGCAATACCACATCTTCATTGGCAATAAAAGACTATATTCCTTGCTGTATTTAGTTAAATGCAAATTATATTATGTACTAGAACAGAAATAACTTTGACTTGAACCAGTGGATATTATATATGGAATATGAAGAAATTCACATAAATGAAACTGGGAGAGTTACTAACCGTTGTATTGTTGATCCCGGAATTTGTACCTCTGATTCACTCTTAATGTCTTCAGTTCTTGCAGTGTGAAATCAACTGCATCGGTTGGAACAATTTTGAAATTTGAATCAAAACCTTAAACAACTGCAACTTTTATAGAGTTCAATACAAAATGAATGACTACAATGACAGTTTTACAAACACATACAAACTGCAAAACTTCCATTCGTCTGCTAATGCGCTAAGACTAGTCAAATACCCAGCAACATAACATGATCATATTCAGGTGCGATCAGAAAGCATGAGATAAAGGAAGTAGGAAGAACAGATTCCATACCAACGAAAAAGCCGGTGGTGTTGACCCCTTGAACCTCATAGGTTGTTTTACGATTTGCAAACTCCTTGTGATTCGCAATGTCAGTGGTGTCATCAAGAATAACGTCATGGCTGCATATAAGAACACCATCTTTTGAAGAAAGAATGTCTGTTTCTATGAAGTCTGTGCCCTCTTCAATAGCTCTCTGCAAGACGCAGTCATTATATATTCATGATCAAATGGCAGAAGCAAGATACTTCTTTACCTCTAATCTACTAGCTGATAAGCCATCTAAAATGATTAAAAAAGTAACTAAAATAGATACATTAACAAACAGATGACGTTTTTAATCAACATAGAAGTGCTTTGGGCTCTCCATTATAATTACATGGCATCTTCTATTTCCCTCACTCCAAAAGAAGGAAAAAAGAAAGTAGAACACGGAGAAGAAATTACACAGCACATAAATCATTAAATGGGCATGCCAACACATACCAAGTATGCAGCAGCAGTTTCTTCAGGAAACTCTCCATTTGAACCTCGGTGAGCAATGTTATACGGTCGAGATGTTTGTAGAGGCTGTCTCTCGCCATTACTGATTTTACTTGGAAGTGGATATAGAGGTCTTGCAGTGCACCCAACAACAAGTAACAGAAAGAACAGAGGGGGAAAGCCTGCCAATGCCATCATTCCAAATGAATCCATCAATTATATTCTACCTAAAAGTGGACTACTGATTGATATGATTATATAAGCACAGCAGCCTAATATGATTATTCTACCCCCTCCCAAATATCTGCATTAATCACAGAAAATCACGGAGTTCTATTTAACATTATTCAGAGTGGAAAATATCTACAACAAAGCAATGTCATTATTTAGCCCAATGTTATCAAATGATTACTTTTCTAGTTTTGTAACATCAAAAGGCAACACTAAGAAGCCTTATTGCTTCCTGGTTATAAGAAACTGTAGAGCCTGCCTATATCTTTGCATAGATACACAAACCAAAATGCGCTCCTGCTATAAGCAATCAGAATACATACTATGAAATATATCTATAATTCTTAGAATAGAAAGACGGCACCACATTCAGAAAAAAAGTCCATCACCTTATAAAACCAAAAAATAACAAATACACATTCATCTAAATGATACATTGTCCTATCATTTGACACGTTCGATTCTGCCGAATTGAAGAAAGCATCAAAGCATACAGCAGTCAAAGATCTTGCCATTGTTTGTTCAGCATTTCATAACATATCATGCTCTGTCAATGTACTTTGGAAACTATGATCAAGTGATGCAGAAACAATTTAGATTTATAGAAAAATTAAACAAAAAATTATCAATTGGTCTCGGGTGAAACTCATCAAGAACTCATTAATACCAAAAATTCAACGAGAGAATCTAAAATATTAAATGACAAGAACAAGGGACATGGAAATCTAATATCAATATCAACTAACAAACAAACTGCAAAACAGACAAAATAAAAAACCTCATAAATCATTCACACACACACACACATATACTATATATGTAATAAAAATTGCCAACGAACAAAATAACTACAAAAAAGCAGCAAACCCAGAATCCATCAATGCCGTTTAAACATAACATATCCAATCAAACCACAAGAGAAGAAAATCCCAGAAACAAAATCCAAACTAGAAACAAGAAAATGACTGAAAAATCTTTAGAACTTTTGAAAGTAAAGATTTTGAAGCTTACTGGTGAAACCTAAACCCATGGCCTTTCCCTTGGTTCTTAATCTTTCAGGAGTGTTTTCTCCACTCTAGTTTGTTCCACCGAGGTTACGGGCCATCTTCAATCAATAATGATGAAGAAAGCCGCAACGTATCGGATACCAAAGCCTTGAATATCGTGTTAAAGGGCAGAATATGCTAAAAAAGATGCTATTTTGACTTCAAAAAAAAAAAAATTGATTTTTTTGTCGCAAAGATAAGAATTTGACGACAACCCTGTCGCCAGAAGGGTCTAATCACGAGATAAACGATGATGGATATTATGACTTGTTTATCATGTTGATCTACCTAGCTTTGTGTACTATTTTTATGGAAGCTAACTACCAGTTTTGTTATCTTTTAATTTATTTTTTAGTTGAATGGAGGTTAGGAGACACAAAGTGATTAAACAAATTAATTTGATATTTATTAGCTGTAATTAGGTGGATATTATTTGCTTAACTTGAATTTAGGATAAAATTTATTAATGGCTTCTTTAGATTTAGATTGGTACAAGGTTAAGCTTTGAACATGATATATATTGAGTTGAGAACGTCAACTATGAATTATAAAATATATCATTACATTTTAATTTAATATAAAAATAATGTCGCTGTAACGTCAATTTGGATACATTTTAATATGATTTAGTTAATAACTAAATAGTTTAAAATTATTGAGATGGGGTTGCTCAAATAAATCCAAGAAAGAAGTCGTTGGCAACTTGGCATAGGAGAAGGGACCACAGATCTGTCATCTGTGATGTGACAAAAGTAGTTCAATTAAAAAGGAAATTTCCTTAAATTAGTTTATAGAGTTAATTACCTGAATTCTGAAACCTAGGTTAAATTTGAGAAACTAAGACTGGTACACATATATAAAGTATATAAATGTTATCGTAACAAGGATAATAAAGACGTTTTCATTAAGTAATATTAGAACGATAAAACTACTTAGTTTATGGTTGAATAACAAAATTATATATGTTTAAACCAGCTTACGAGTAATCTTGGTTTGTGATTACGTAAAAAAACTAAAAATGTTCAGACCAATTTAAGAGTGAACCTGGTTTATGGTCCCATGACAAAACTATGAATGTTCAACTAATCCTCGGATCTTCGAAAAAACCCTCTTTAAATTCACTAATTTCCCTTCAAAGAAACCATTCAAGATCAAGAAACCATTCAAGATCTTGCTAAGCTGAGAGAGAGAGTTTCATGGTTTGGATTAAGCTCCTCTAGTTTCCCAGGAAGATACTTCTCCGGTAAATGAACTAATTTCAAATTTTTCTTTCCATTAAATTCTTCAATCATATTTTTTAAATGACTTGTGAAGCGAGAAAAATAGCTCAAGGAAACAAAACTATGCATTGATCCATCCAATTATGGTTCTTTCAGGAGTTCTATAAAGCAAAATAAAAGCACATTTCCCTTTTGAGAAGGAAGTTTTCTTTTATCTAGATTAAAAGAAAAAACAAAGGTGACTGAGAAAAGTATCAGTTCCTGCTTGGTTTAGGTCCTAAAACGGGCGACAAAGCCGCCACTGCTGACCTTAACCTGAAAGGGCAGAATAGACGGTGATGTGCTTCATGGGGTTCGGCACGTCCTTGCCACCGGCGTGCTTCACGAACTCTGCCGGCGAGAGAAAGCTGCCATGGCATACACACACTATACTTACATGACCTTTTGTATATGTGTATAGAAATCCTTCAATTCTCTTCCCATTGGGGCCATCTCCAGTTGTAGTTACACTGGGCATCTGTCTCATCACATCTATCCCATTGTCTTCGAAGTTTGCGCCTGTGATTCTAGGCCTCTTGCATGGACTCTCTGGCTTGGTTTCAGCTGGCCGGACTAACATTCTATTTGAGGTTGCCCCTGGAGAGATCACAGGTTCTATGTTCCTTGGATCCGATGGCGGTCGGAACCTGCTAGGTTGGTTAGGTTCTATGTTCTTTGGATCCAACGGCGGGCAGAACCTGCTTGGTTGGTTAGGTTCTATGTTCGTTGGATCCGATGGCGGGTGGAACCTTCTAGGTTGGTTAGGTTCTATGTTCCTTGGATCCGACGACAGGTGGAACTTGCTAGGTTGGTTAGGCTCTATGTTCCTTGGATCTGAGGACAGATGGAACCTACTAGGTTGATTAGGCGCAGCTGAACCCTCCGTTCCTATATGATATTTGTGCAGTTTTGGTTGGTTATGGGCGGCTGAACCTTCCAGTCCTGTATGATATTTGTGCAGTTTTGGTTGCTTAGATGCTGCTGAACCTTCCAGTCCTCTATGATATTTGTGCAGTTTTGGTTGCTTAGGCGCGGCTGAACCTTCCGGTCCTGCATGAAATGTGTGCAAATTAAGTTAAAAATCTTTGAGCAATCATAAAGGCAAGTCAAAACTACACAATAATGCTTCAGCAGCTGAGGAATTTCTCATTTCGGAGTCCTCCCTTCACAATCCAAGCTCCAAATGCTATGAATCTCTTGATATAAGAATCATGTTCTAATTATGGTCCACATACTCGATATGCAAATGAGATATGAAAATCAATATTATTCCTTTTTAATGGAGCATTGATTCCATGTTGAAATAAGTAATTTCAAAACCAGAAAGAAAAATCTTCAATCATGTGCTGTTTTTCCAGAGATCAGAAATTTGGTACTTACAGAGAATGCAGGTGCTTGTACAGCAAAAGGTCATATATCCTAATGCTGAATTACTACAATCCTAGAGATTATGCTTTTGGGAAAGAAAAGAATTCAAGAGTTGTATTCAACTTGTAACACACCCATTTATATGCATTCTCGGCTTTAAATAATGGCTTGTCTCATGGATCCAAACAGAGACTCGTCTTGCTGTGCATTGTGATTTAATCAACTAAATGAGGAGTTCTCAAAATACAGGACCTCTTGGTTTAATATAACATGTTGAGCGATCCTTAATTCCAAAGGTTCAAGTTCATACGAACATAAACTACATAGACAGGCTTATATAGACTTCAATGATATCCTAATAAAATCTCTCATCTATATCCTCATGCTAACAGACTCCACTTCGCCACATTCATGTCTACCATGGCTCGTCAAAGAGCCGACCATGCTTTTTTGTGTAATTCCATACCACAATAAAACTTTTGAATTGGGGTGCCTAACCAGTATTGGCACAGGAAGAGGACCTACTTCCATCACCTTTTTTCACTACTAACATGTCATTGTCTCTGTCACTGGATGTAATACAGCTCATGCTTTTGAACTCCAAGAAATGGAAGAATGGATAAACAATACAACAAAAAAGGAAAAATAATATGTAAGGGACAATTATGGATGCATGTCAAACATATAGACACTTACCATGAAGAGAAGCAGGTGCCGGGGACGGAAGTGGGAAATACATTCCTATAACAGTAAGCAGAACATGCATTAAAATAAGTAGAAATCCTCCATGCCAAACATATCGACAAACCTTTTTTCAGAAACATTCTCTTCTTTTCCTAACTTTGAGAACTGGACTGTCGAAAGAGTTGATATGCCACAAGAGATTCATAATAAATTTTAACATGGCGTTGAAAGAATTATAAGCTCCTCCTTCATCTATTTAGTGTTAATATGCCTACTACTACCAGAAGGTTTTGATCCCACATAATGAAGATAAGACACAACCAACGTGCAACGTATGGGAAAAAGTTTGTATTGTGGATTTTCATGTCAAACTATGAAGTATTCATTTTTGTCGGAACACAAGCAAGATCAAATTCTATATTTAGCTAATGTATTATCATTTCTTCTTTTGTCGAGACATTGTCGGATTCAAACTCATTCTTAGTTTTTGTCGCGAAGTAATTGAATTCAAAACATAATTCCATCAAGATGTAGTATGTACTCTTCGCAATCGACAAAACGAAGATTCTTAGATCATATCTTTGCATGTGGATGCCACATAAATTTCCCAAATGTACTCCCCGACCTATCTCTGCAAGGTTTCTTTCAGGTCCATGAAGATCAATTAAGAATTTACATTGTAGCTATCATGGACATCAATTCTCCTTTCTTTTTAAAATAAAGTTAATACCATCAAGCCCCAAATCTAATGTCTAACAGTAACAGCAATCTTGAGTACTATTTCTCTTTTTCTCCAATATTCCATGAATGCAGTAAACTGATAATATTTTATTAACATCCAATATCCCAATTTTTCAAGTCCTTGTTTAAAAAGTTAAATCTTTTAACAAACTAATAAACATATCAATACACAATCAATAACAGGGCAATTAAAGTAGATAGATTATTCTAAACAAACAAACAAAACACAAAACAAAGATTAAAGAGAAGAGATTATACCCTTTTGGCTCTGAGCTGCTAACTCTCCTTGTGGGTTGACGTTAACAATGGCTTGATATAGAGGGGGGCTCTTTGCCGGCGAAGCCGCGGCCCAAGTAGCCATTTCAGCTGGAGGCAAAGGGAGCATTGGCTCCTGCAGGGAAGCTTTAGACTTTTCTTTCTCTTTATTTTCCCTGCTTATCCTCTGCCTCTCCAGAAGCCTGTTCTTCGCCTGAATTCTCCTCATTGCCTGCAACTCCCTCATATTTATAAGCCTCTGCTGTTGCTCTCTTTCAGCCGGCAGAGAACAAGACCTCTCCAATGAAAAAACTCTTCTTTCACCTTCCCTAGAGTCCTTTCTCTGAGTCATGAATCCAGTCATTGAAGACGACCTTGTTAGCGAGTTCTCACCCTCGAAGTTAATTCCCAAAGAGAGTTGAAGATTGAGGTCTGGTTCATGAAGAGATTCTGAATTTGACTGTTGGCTTTGCTTTGGATTTTCTTTGTCAGGTGAAAACCTCTCCAAAAGATTTGTGGGGTGTTCTTTATTTTCCTTCATTACCACTCCCTTGTCTCCCTCCATGTCAACTTAAGTTCTCCTCTTCTGTCACAAGAAACCAGACAATGTAGAAGCTCAAAAAGCCGAAAGTAAACAAAGAAAAAGGTGATAAAACAAGAAAAACTTACTGGATTAGCGATAAAATGCAGTGCAGAATCAAAAACCAAAAGCTATAAAGCTGAAGCTACGCGTGCATGATGGAGAAGAAGAAGCAAAGAGAGAGAGAGAGAGAGAGAGTAGAAATGATGGAGAATCTGAGTGGTTTGAGTTTTATAGGCTGACAACACACAGTTCAGAGACGCCACGTGGAGGTCAGTGGAGATTGAGAAGTGTTAATTTCCAGGTACGGTTACTTCCACAGATCATCATTATCATCTCGACATCACAACTTGCAAGAACACTATACAGCTTTTTGATATCACCCACTTGACCAACTTCGAACACTTACTGCTAGCTGCTTAATACTACTTTGTTTCTCTTCTGTGTGTAGCTGCTTACAACTGTTTGGGTTTATTTAAAACTTTAATAAAATTTGGGGGTTAAATGTAATTAATTATCTTACAAAATGTCCTAAATCAGGTCAACTTTTTGTTATTTCCGATTCTTTATTCAATGGTCAATAGTTTTACAACTCAATTTCTAAAATCTTCTCTTATCATCTTTAGTATGACAGTTCATAATTGGTTAGCTCGTAAATGAACAAACGAAATCCATACAAACAGATGAGACACATTTTATAAGATGATCAATGACGAACTACCAAATCAGACATTGTGAAAGAAAGTTGTGAGATTAATTATAAAACCTAACATTACTCATTTCATTAATATGTTATAAGTATAGAGTGATCTATATTAAAGTTTATAATTTTACATTAAAATTTCATAACAATATTATCGGAAGTGATGTCCCAGTAAGTCTGCAAATCACAGGGGCACAGTCTTCCATCAGATATTTACAGTTTAAAATGATTCAGAATGAAACAGAGACGACATATAAAACGGAGACAGTAATCAAAAGCATAAACGTCTAATCTAAAGCTGCAGTTCATGAACACAGAAAAGGTCCAGTCCAAATGTCCAATGTATCTCAATTATGAAAAGTGAACAGATCATATCATAAAATTCGTCCAATTAAGATACTTCAAATTAATTTGGATTGATCCAAGCATCACATTGCATATTGTCGACCCTTTTCAGGAACTCATTCCGCATGAATTCAAAACAAAATATAGCTATATACAAAATAAGTTCTAGAAGGTAAGGTAGTCTATTACAAACCTGTTTAGTGTCTTCAGTAGAGCGGTGATATCATCAATCAAGAAGATTTTGGGCAAGTCTGTTAGATTTGATACATAAACAGTGAAGTTGGAGCAAAGGATTGGATAAATGCAGGTTGCTTCAACCAATCTTTGACAAATCGAACCGTGGTATCCCTACTTCTTAGTGTATCCACAAACTTGTCCTCAAATTTCTTACCATCGTGCCATTTCACCTGTTGAAGGAATCAATTTATAATTAGTACTAGTAAACAATTCTAAAAATTAACGCAGCAGTATTCATCCATACAAATATCTTTGCAAAAGATGGGAAGACCGAAAGAGTAAAGAAAGATGATGTTTTTAAACTCAATACAATTCAAAGCAATCATATTTGCCTGGACAACTGTTTTTTGTGACGTTGAAGGAGAAATAACTCACATGCTGATTGATAAATACTGGATTTTTTATCTCGGGTATATTCCAACAACTCTTGGCGCATCCAATGCCATTGAAATGTACTCTTCAATGTAATAATCGAAAATTTTCCTGAGCAACAACACAAAAAATAAACTTAATTATCGTTATTTTTCTCAAAGTCAATAAATTTCTTGTATACTCTCGAAAAGAGTTGAAACGTACAATATTGTGGAACAATTATAGCATATAATTTTTAACAGGATTTAATGATTATAAAGCTGTGAACCCACAATGAGAAGTTTTTGTATTTCAACTTTGGGGCCCATGAAAAATAGGAAATGCAAATCAACTAATTGATCATAGAATTGTTGAACTAGATGTCAGATGTCACAGGTCAAGCGAAGGGCATAAAAGCAATTATTATATCCTAAATCCTTACACTAGAGTACAAAGTCCAGAGAGCCAATTAAAATACTACAAGTTTTTTTTGATAAAAAAATTTAGACACTTTCCTCTTTTGATGATCTTTAGAACATGAGAAATTATCGCGTCCACTGATATTTAAGATACTCAAAGAAACCATTGTCAGCCAGCTATGCATATCTGTACTGTGCAAGCAGGAGTGTGTTATATCTGGGCAAGACCACATCTTCATTGGCAATAAAAGACTCATATTCCTTGCTGTATTTGGTTAATGCAAATTATATTATGTACTAGAACAGAAATAACTTTGACTTGACCAGTGGATATATATGGAATATGAAGAAATTCACATAAATGAAACTGGGAGAGTTACTAACCGTTGTATTGTTGATCCCGGAATTTGTACCTCTGATTCACTCTAATGTCTTCAGTTCTTGCAGTGTGAAATCAACTGCATCGTTGGAACAATTTTGAAATTTGAATCAAAACCTTAACAATGCAACTTTTATAGAGTTCAACACAAAATGAATGACTACAATGACAGTTTTACAAACACATACAACTGCAAGAACTTCCATTCGTCTGCTAATGTGCTAAGACTAGTCAAATACCCAGCAACACAACATGATATATTCAGGCGGGATCAGAAGTATGAGATAAGGAAGTAGGAAGAACAGATTCCATACCAACGAAAAAGCAGTGGTGTTGACCCCTTGAACCTCATAGGTTGTTTTACGATTGCAAACTCCTGTGATTCGCAATGTCAGTGGTGTGTCATCAAGAGTAAGTCATGGTTGCATATAAGAACACCGTCTTTTGAAGAAGAAGTCTGTTTCATGAAGTCTGTGCCCTCTTCAATAGCTCTCTGCAAGACGCAGTCATATATATTCATGATCAAATGGCAGAAGCAAGATACTTCTTACCTCTAATCTACTAGCTGATAAGCCATCTAAAATGATTAAAAAAGTAACTAAAATAGATACATTACAAACAGATGACGTTTTTAATCAACATAGAAGTGCTTTGGGCTCTCCATTATAATTACATGGCATCTTCTATTTCCCTCACTCAAAAGAAGGAAAAAAGAAAGTAGAACACGAGAAGAAATTACACAGCACTAAATCATTATATGAGCATGCCAAACATACCAAGTATGCAGCAGCAGTTTCTTCAGGAAACTCTCCATTTGAACCTCGGTGAGCAATGTTATACGGTCGAGATGTTTGTAGAGGCTGTCTCTCGCCATTACTGATTTTACTTGGAAGTGGATATAGAGGTCTTGCAGTGCACCCAACAACGAGTAACAGAAAGAACAGAGGGGAAAGCCTGCCAATGCCATCATTCCAAATGAATCCATCAATTATATTCTACCTAAAAGTGGACTACTGATTGATGATTATATAAGAACCGCAGCCCATATGATTATTCTACCCCCTCAGATATCTGCATAATCACAGAAAATACGGAGTTCTTAACATTATTCAGAGTGGAAAATATCTACAACAAAGCAATGTCATTATTTAGCCCATGTTATCAAATGATTACTTTTCTAGTTTTGTAACATCAAAGGAACACTAAGAAGCCTTATTGCTTCCTGGTTATAAGAAACTGTAGAGCCTGCTATATCTTTGCATAGATACACAAACCAAAATGCGGCTCACTGCTATAAGCAATCAGAAACATCTATGAAATATATCTATAATTCTTAGAATAGAAAGACGGCACCACAATTCAGAAAAAAGTCCATCACTTATAAAACCAAAAAATAACAAATACACATTCATCTAATGATACATTGTCCTATCTTATGACACGTTCGATATCTGCCGAATTGAAGAAAGCATCAAAGCATACAGCAGTCAAAGATCTTCTCCCATTGTTTGTTCAGCATTTCATAACATATCATGCTCTGTCAATGTACTTTGGAAACTATGATCAAGAGCAGAAACAATTTAGATTTATAGAAAAATTAAACAAAAAATACAATTGGTCCGGGTGAAACTCAATCAAGAACTCATATAAATACCCAAAAATTCAACGAGGAGAATCTAAAATATTAAATGACAAAAGACCAAGGGACATGGAAATCTAATATCAATATCAAACTACAAAACAAACTGCAAAACAGACAAAATAAAAAACCTCATAAAATATTCACCACCACACACACATATACATATATAATGTAATAAAGAATTGCCACGAACAAAATTAAATACAAAAAAGCAGCAAACCCAGAATCCTCAATGCGTTTAAACATAACATATCCAATCAAAACACAAAGAGAGAAAATCCCAGAAAGCATAAATCCAAACTAGAAACAAGAAAATGACTGAAAAATCTTTAGAACTTTTGAAAGTAAAGATTTTGAAGCTTACTGGTGAAACCTAAACCCATGGCCTTTCCCTTGGTTCTTATCTTTCAGGAGTGTTTTCTCCACTCTAGTTTGTTCCACCGAGGTTACGGGCCATCTTCATATCATAATGATGAAGAAAGCCGCAACGTATCGGATACCAAAGCCTTGAATATCGTGTTAAAGGCGAATATGCTAAAAAAGATGCTATTTTGACTTCAAAAAAAAAAAAATTGATTTTTTTGTCGCAAAGATAAGAATTTGACGACACCCTTCGCGAGAGGGTCTAATCACGGAGGTAAACGATGAATGGATGATTAGACTTGTTTATCATGTTGATCTACCTAGCTTTGTGTAATTTATGGAAGCTAACTACCAGTTTATTGTTTCTTTTAATTTATTTTTTTAGTTGAATGGAGGTTAGGAGACACAAAGTGATTAAACTAAATTAATTTGATATTTATTAGCTGTAATTAGGTGGATAATTATTTGCTTAAACTTTGAATTTAGGATAAAATTTATTAATGGCTTCTTTAGATTTAGATTGGACAAGGTTGAAGCTTTGAACATGATATATATTGAGTTGAGAACGTCAACTATAGAAATTATAAAATATATCATTACATTTTAATTTAATATAAAAGATAATGTCGCTGTAACGTCAATTTGTGATACAATTTTAATATGATTAGTTAATAACTAAATAGTTTAAAAATTGAGATGGGGTTGCTCCAATAAATCCAAGAAAGAAGTCGTTGGCATAGGAGAAGGGACCTCAGATCTGTCATTGTGATGTGACAAAAGTAGTTCAATTAAAAAGGAAATTCCTTAAATTAGGTATAGAGTAATTACCTGAATTCTGAAACTAGGTTAAATTTGAGAAACTAAGACTGGTACACATATATAAGTATATAAATGTTATCGTAACAAGGTAATAAAGCGTTTTCATTAAGTATATTAGAACGATAAAACTACTTAGTTTATGGTGAATACAAAAATATATATGTTAAACCAGCTTACGAGTAATCTTGGTTTGTGATTACGTAAAAAAACTAAAATGTTCAGACCAATTTAAGAGTGAACTGGTTTATGGTCCCATGACAAAAATATGAATGTTCAACTAATCCTCGGATCTTCGAAAAAACCCTCTTTAAATTCACTAATTCCCTTAAAGAAACCATTCAGATCAAGAAACCATTCAGATCTTGCTAAGCTGAGAGAGAGAGTTTCATGGTTTGGATAGCTCCTCTAGTTTCCCAGGAAGATACTTCTCCGGTAAAGAACTAATTTCAAATTTTTCTTCCATAAATTCTTCAATATTTTTTAAATGACTTTGAAGCGAGAAAAAAGCTCAAGGAAACAAAACTATGCATTGATCATCCAATTATGGTTCTTCAGGAGTTCTATAAAGCAAAATAAAAGCACTTTCCCTCTGAGAAGGAAGTTTTCTTTATCTAGATTAAAGAAAAACAAAGGTGATGAGAAAAGTATCAGTTCTGCTTGGTTTAGGTCCTAAAACGGGCGACAAAGCCGCCACTGTGACCTTAACCTGAAAGGGCAGAATAGACGGTGATGTGCTTCATGGGGTTCGGCAGCCTTGCCAACGGCGTGCTTCGAAACTCTGCCGGCGGAGAGAAAGCTGCCATGGCATTCACACACCTTACTTACATGACCTTTTATATAGTGTATAGATCCTTCAATTCTCTTCCTGGGGCCATCTCCAGTAGTAGTTACACTGGGCATCTGTCTCATCACTCTATCCATTGTCTTTGAAGTTTGCGCCGTGATTCTAGGCCTCTTGCATGGACTCTCTGGCTTGGTTTCAGCTGGCCGGACTAACATTCTATTTGAGGTTGCCCTGGAGAGATCACAGGTTCTATGTTCCTTGGATCCGATGGCGGGCGAACCTGCTAGGTTGGTTAGGTTCTATGTTCTTTGGATCCAACGGCGGGAGAACCTGCTTGGTTGGTAGGTTCTATGTCGTTGGATCCAATGGCGGGTGGAACCTGCTAGGTTGGTTAGGTTTTATGTTCCTTGGATCCGACGACGGGTGGAACATGCTAGGTTGGAGGCTCTATGTTCCTTGGATCTGAGACAGATGGAACCTACTAGGTTGATTAGGCGCAGCTGAACTCCAGTCCCATATGATATTTGTGCAGTTTTGGTTGGTTAGGGGCGTGAACCTTCCAGTCCTGTAGATATTTGTGCAGTTTTGGTTGCTTAGATGCGGCTGAACCTTCCAGTCCTCTATGATATTTGTGCAGTTTTGGTTGCTTAGGCGCGGCTGAACCTTCCGGTCTGCATGAAATGTGTGCAAATTAAGTCAAAATCTTTGAGCAATCATAAAGGCAAGTCAAAACTACACAAAATGCTCAGCAGCTGAGGAATTTCTCATTTCGGAGTCCTACCTTTACAATCCAAGCTCCAAATGCTATGAATCTCTTGATATAAGAATCATGTTCTATTATGGTCCACATACTCGATATGCAAATGAGATATGAAAATCAATATTATTCTTTTAAAGGAGCATTGATTCCATGTTGAAATAAGTAATTTCAAAACAGAAAGAAAAATCTTCAATTATGACTGTTGTTTCAGAGATCAGAAATTTGTACTTACAAGAATGCAGGTGCTTGTACAGCAAAAGGTCATATATCCTAATGCTGAATACTACAATCCTAGAGATTATGCTTTTGGGAAAGAAAGAATTCAAGAGTTGTATTCAACTTGTAACACACCCATTTATATGCATTCTCGGCTTTAAATAAGGCTTGTCTCGTGGATCCAAACAGAGGCTCGTCTTGACTGCATTGTGATAATCAACTAAATGAGGAGTTCCCAAAATACAGAAATCTGGTTTAATATAACATGTTGAGCGATCCTTAATTCCAAAGGTTTCAGTTCATACGAACATAAAACTACATAGACAGGCTTATTAGACTTCAGTGATACCTAAAAAATCTCTCATCTATTCCTCATGCTAACGACTCCACTTCGCCACATTCATGTCTCACATGGCTCGTCAAAGAGCCGACCATGCTTTTTGTGTAATTCCATACCACAATAAAACTTTGAATTGGGGTGCCAACCAGTATTGGCACAGGAAGAGGACCTACTTCCATCACCTTTTTCACTACTAAATGTCATTGTCTCTGTCACGGATGTAATACAGCTCATGCTTTGAACTCCAAGAAATGGAAGAATGGATAAACAATAGCAATGTTCCATAACCCCTAAACCACAATGAAGTGTAAACTCCAATGAACCTATTCTGATTGTACGTACCGTGTAGTCAAATCCTTTTGTTATCCAATCCCAATTAAGAATGGTTCATGGTATGTCAAAACATTTAACTTAATCTGTAATCGAATTGTCAATCGATACAATGGAACTCGTTAACATGAAACTACTTTTCATCTGACATTCATTATACTCTAGCCAGAGATTTCCCTTGTCCAATGTTTATTGACATTCGTCTGGGAACTCTAGATTGAACTATTTTGAGTTAACAGATCTCATCTTGACGATTACTTATCCTTGCATATGAATAACATATGACCAAACCGGCTTATTACACAAGACATGACTAGTCTCGTGTTTATACACCATATGAACCATATGCATCCTATGTTGAATCCAACTGTGATGTCTCAAGTCTAAGGATTAGTGGTACACTAGCACGATCCTATGATTCATCATTGACTATATCTATGTGATTCATCGTAATCGATCGTATTCGATAAACAGTTCACTAACCGTTTATCCATGCTAATGCCTTAGTGACATACCTCTTATAATCACCCACACTAATACCATCACATGATATTCAATGGAGACATTCAGCATGCCTACTATGCAATGTTATTGCCCAATTAACATTAATTGCGTAGATAATTCTTTGATGATTTGATCTTCTGAAGATTCGTGTCATCCGGACATTTCACATGAAATATTAAATATAATATAATATAGATGAAGCAGAAAATCAACATGTGAAATAAGAACACTTTCTTTTATTCATAATACATTTACAAGATATAATGTCCTGAAACCGATAACATGATTGGTTCCTAGGGCATACACTAACATCGAGCTCGTGCTTGATGCTAAAAATTCGCGTTTGAGCTCAGGCTCACTAAAAAAACTCTTCAATTCTCCATTTTTCCCTTTCCTAATCGTGCTTTTTGAGCTCGAGCTTGTCAAGTCGAAATCTGGTGAGCTCGACATTGTAGCCGAGTCGAGCTCAAGCCACTAGCAAGCGACGGCTTAACTGGACTGACACTCCTGGTTCGAATGATGGTAACAAGAGTGATTTTGGGTGAAAGAATCACCAGAAAATGATGAAAAACATCGGGGCCGCCTCCTGCTAAAATGCGTCGGAGCACTGTTAAAATTATTTTGAAAATTTTATTTTGACTGTTACATTAAACAATTTTCCATTACTTTAAGAGTGGGAATTTAGAATTTATGAAACCAATGATAGAAATTTGCCATTTAGCTAGTCTTTGGGTGGCAACATGTCCTTTGATCAAGATTAAATGATTGAACATTATAAAACAATTCATCAAATTCCAAAAGTTAAAAATGACCGAAGAAGAAAATTCATTTAGCTTGCCAACTAGATTGATATACAAGACCAAAACAGTAGGTTAAACGTAACATCTTTTATTTCATCGTTTGTCCTTGATAGCATTTCAATATATCTAAGACTGAATACATAAATCTCGTACCTAAAAATTTATTAATATCATTTTGCTTCAATGATGCTAGGGTTTATATACATTTTTTTTTTCTTTTTTTAACCCTAAATTATTAACCCTTACGAAGAGAGCAACGACTTAATTTGATGTAGCAATTTCGATGCTTTGGCTTCATCATCATCTCCTTCATCTTTAGAGAGTGGAGATGCCCATTCCTGGTAAAGATGAACACTGCCGGTGAAGTCTGTGAAGAGTCCGTCAACTCCGATTTTGTTAAACCAGTAGTTGTACTCTTGATACGGATCTTGATGAAAATCAAAGTGTAAGAAAATGTTTTCATTCCTGAAAGTGTACGGGTGCACCTGCATTTTGAATTTACCATGAACAAATTGCAATTCAGCTCTTCAAGTGTATAGATGAACAAAGAACTAAATCAAGAGGAAACAGTTATGAAATCGCGGTAAAACAGAATTTGAAAGAAAGAACAAGTTAAAAACAAAAACAAAAAATCAAAATGAGATTATATAAGGTGAGTGTATCTTGACTTATTTTTTAACTTAAATTTTACAACACCAGCCATTGAATACAATCCAATGTTTAATTAAACTTGGAATACATTTGCCAGAGGTAAAGAAAAGATGAGTTCTGTTCTCCTCTACCCAATACACATATATATATACAACCATCACATATGCTAAAAACTTCAAAAATTAGCTTTCTGGAGATAGGAAAGTGAAATAATGAAAAACAAACCCAGATACATTATCCTAATGCAACAATGCAAATATTGAAGCAAAGATCTCAAAAATATGACTTAACCATAAAAGTTTTAGATCATGTTGATAATCTGCAAACTACAATTATAGAGAACTTTACCTGTAAGTCACGGGCATGTGCTTTGGCGACAAGATCAGTTGGAGTCTGCAAATAATTATTTATCAAAGGAACTACAGTATCCTTCCAAGGTCCGATGCCCACAACATATTCCTTAATATAGTCAAGATAAGCATCGGAAGTGATGTCCCAGTATGTCTGCAAATCACAGGGGCATAGTCTTCCATCAGATATTTACAGTTTAAAATGATTCAGAATGAAACAGAGACGACATATAAAACGGAGACAGTAATCAAAAGCATAAACGTCTAATCTAAAGCTGCAGTTCATGAACACAGAAAAGGTCCAGTCCAAATGTCCAATGTATCTCAATTATGAAAAGTGAACAGATCATATCATAAAATTCGTCCAATTAAGATACTTCAAATTAATTTGGATTGATCCAAGCATCACATTGCATAATTTGTCGACACTTTTCAGGAAACTCATTCCACATGAATTCAAAACAAAATATAGCTTATATACAAAATAAGTTCTAGAAGGTAAGGTAGTCTATTACAAACCTGTTTAGTGTCTTCAGTTAGAGTGGTGATATCATCAATCAAGAAGATTTTGGGCAAGTCTGTTAGATTTGATACATATACAAGTGAAGTTGGAGCAAAGGATTGGATAAATGCAGGTTGCTTCAACCAATCTTTTGACAAATACGAACCGTGGTATCCATACTTCTTAAGTGTATCCACAAACTTGTCCTCAAATTTCTTACCATCGTGCCATTTCACCTGTTGAAGGAATCAATTTATAATTAGTACTAGTAAACAATTCTAAAAATTAACGCAGCAGTTATTCACTCCATACAAATATCTTTGCAAAAGATGGGAAGACCGAAAGAGTAAAGAAAGATGCATGTTTTTAAACTCAATACAATTCAAAGCAATCATACTTTTGCCTGGACAACTGTTTTTTGTGACAGCTTGAAGGAGAAAATAACTCACATGCTGATTGATAAATACTGGATTTTTTATCTCTGGGTATATTCCAACAACTCTTGGCGCATCCAATGCAATTGAAATGTACTCTTCAAATGTAATAATCGAAAATTTTCCTGAGCAACACACACAAAAAATAAACTTAATTATCGTTATTTTTTCTCAAAGTCAATAAATTTCTTGTATACTCTCGAAAAGAGCTTGAAACGTACAATATTGTGATGAACAATTATAGCATATAATTTTTAACAGGATTTAATGATTATAAAGCTGTGAACCCACAACGAGAAGTTTTTGGAATTTCAATTTTTGGGGCCCATGAAAAATGAAGGAAATGCAAATCAACTAATTGATCATAGAATTGTTGAACTAGATGTCAGATGTCACAGGTCAAGTGAAGGGCATACAAGACAATTATTATATCCTAAATCCTTTACACTAGAGTACAAAGTCCAAAGGTGCCAAATTAAATACTACAAGTTTTTTTTGATAAAAAAATTTAGACACTTTCCTCTTTTGATGATCTTTAGAACAATGAGAAATTATCGCGTCCACTGATATTTAAGATACTCAAAGAAACAATTGTCAGCCAGCTATGCATATCTGTACTGTGCAAGCAGGAGTGTTGTTATATCTGGGCAAGACCACATCTTCATTGGCAATAAAAGACTATATTCCTTGCTGTATTTAGTTAAATGCAAATTATATTATGTACTAGAACAGAAATAACTTTGACTTGAACCAGTGGATATTATATATGGAATATGAAGAAATTCACATAAATGAAACTGGGAGAGTTACTAACCGTTGTATTGTTGATCCCGGAATTTGTACCTCTGATTCACTCTTAATGTCTTCAGTTCTTGCAGTGTGAAATCAACTGCATCGGTTGGAACAATTTTGAAATTTGAATCAAAACCTTAAACAACTGCAACTTTTATAGAGTTCAATACAAAATGAATGACTACAATGACAGTTTTACAAACACATACAAACTGCAAAACTTCCATTCGTCTGCTAATGCGCTAAGACTAGTCAAATACCCAGCAACATAACATGATCATATTCAGGTGCGATCAGAAAGCATGAGATAAAGGAAGTAGGAAGAACAGATTCCATACCAACGAAAAAGCCGGTGGTGTTGACCCCTTGAACCTCATAGGTTGTTTTACGATTTGCAAACTCCTTGTGATTCGCAATGTCAGTGGTGTCATCAAGAATAACGTCATGGCTGCATATAAGAACACCATCTTTTGAAGAAAGAATGTCTGTTTCTATGAAGTCTGTGCCCTCTTCAATAGCTCTCTGCAAGACGCAGTCATTATATATTCATGATCAAATGGCAGAAGCAAGATACTTCTTTACCTCTAATCTACTAGCTGATAAGCCATCTAAAATGATTAAAAAAGTAACTAAAATAGATACATTAACAAACAGATGACGTTTTTAATCAACATAGAAGTGCTTTGGGCTCTCCATTATAATTACATGGCATCTTCTATTTCCCTCACTCCAAAAGAAGGAAAAAAGAAAGTAGAACACGGAGAAGAAATTACACAGCACATAAATCATTAAATGGGCATGCCAACACATACCAAGTATGCAGCAGCAGTTTCTTCAGGAAACTCTCCATTTGAACCTCGGTGAGCAATGTTATACGGTCGAGATGTTTGTAGAGGCTGTCTCTCGCCATTACTGATTTTACTTGGAAGTGGATATAGAGGTCTTGCAGTGCACCCAACAACAAGTAACAGAAAGAACAGAGGGGGAAAGCCTGCCAATGCCATCATTCCAAATGAATCCATCAATTATATTCTACCTAAAAGTGGACTACTGATTGATATGATTATATAAGCACAGCAGCCTAATATGATTATTCTACCCCCTCCCAAATATCTGCATTAATCACAGAAAATCACGGAGTTCTATTTAACATTATTCAGAGTGGAAAATATCTACAACAAAGCAATGTCATTATTTAGCCCAATGTTATCAAATGATTACTTTTCTAGTTTTGTAACATCAAAAGGCAACACTAAGAAGCCTTATTGCTTCCTGGTTATAAGAAACTGTAGAGCCTGCCTATATCTTTGCATAGATACACAAACCAAAATGCGGCCTCACTGCTATAAGCAATCAGAATACATACTATGAAATATATCTATAATTCTTAGAATAGAAAGACGGCACCACAATTCAGAAAAAAAGTCCATCACCTTATAAAACCAAAAAATAACAAATACACATTCATCTAAATGATACATTGTCCTATCATTATGACACGTTCGATATCTGCCGAATTGAAGAAAGCATCAAAGCATACAGCAGTCAAAGATCTTCTGCCATTGTTTGTTCAGCATTTCATAACATATCATGCTCTGTCAATGTACTTTGGAAACTATGATCAAGTGATGCAGAAACAATTTAGATTTATAAGAAAAATTAAACAAAAAATTATCAATTGGTCTTGGCAGAAACTCAATCAAGAACTCATATAAATACCTAAAAATTCAACGAGAGAATCTAAAATTTTAAATGACAAAGAACCAAGGGACATGGAAATCTAATATCAATATCAAACTACAAAACAAACTGCAAAACAGACAAAATAAAAAACCTCATAAAATCATTCACACACACACACACACATATACATATATAATGTAATAAAAGAATTGCCAACGAACAAAATTAAACTACAAAAAAGCAGCAAACCCAGAATCCTCAATGCCGTTTAAACATAACATATCCAATCAAAACACAAAGAGAAGAAAATCCCAGAAAGCATAAATCCAAACTAGAAACAAGAAAATGACTGAAAAATCTTTAGAACTTTTGAAAGTAAAGATTTTGAAGCTTACTGGTGAAACCTAAACCCATGGCCTTTCCCTTGGTTCTTAATCTTTCAGGAGTGTTTTCTCCACTCTAGTTTGTTCCACCGAGGTTACGGGCCATCTTCATATCAATAATGATGAAGAAAGCCGCAACGTATCGGATACCAAAGCCTTGAATATCGTGTTAAAGGGCAGAATATGCTAAAAAAGATGCTATTTTGACTTCAAAAAAAAAAAANTGTTGCTTGGAAATGGTCTGTGAATGCTAAGAATCTGAGTGCGATGAATCAAGATCAGCCAGCTTCATGTCCATTAGCTCTTGAAAGCAGATCTGTTGGCCTAGAAGGTTTTTGGGAACACACTACATCTAGAGGGGTTTGTCGCCCTCATCATGTGAAGGAAGGCATTTTGGCCTCTGATCAAAATGGTGAGGAAGGATGCGACGCTACTGCAAACTAGTCTTTGGAGAATCCGCCTTCATCTAAAAAAAAAGCCCAAAGTTGGCCAAGCAATGCTGAATCCTACGCCTCCCAACACCAAGGAGCATGTCGCGATGGTGGAAGAGTAGGTCCTTTGTTCCTTGTCGGGTCTTAACCTGGATCCTAGCCCAATTATTGGTGACCTGTTCTAGCCCAATCCCCATCTCTCCCTCCAAGTTATGGGTAGCCCAATCTAAGTGTGACCCAAGCCCAACAGTCTTATGCTTCTTGCTCTTATGGAGCCACGTCTGAAGCCTTCAAGCCCTTCACTTTTGGAGCTTCTTCTCTTAATATGACGCCTCCTCCAACTACTGGACGTGAAGTTCCAATTTTCAGCTTTGGACTCAACCGTTCCCATCCTTCTTCTTCTATAGGTCATAGGCCCTTGAGCAATGGTGGAATGGCAAAAGGAATAAGTAAATTAGGAGCTCGTAAAAATCATGCAGGACCTAATGTTTCTTCTTCTGGATTTGCAGCTTTAGGACAAATGACTGCTAGCCCAAATATTTTTGGCCATCCTCTGCATCCTAAAGGTAAATGTTCATGGGCTCATGTCACGATAGCAAGCCAGTCTAGAGGAAAAACACCACTACTCTTTCATGCTCCTGAGTTCTTATCAGAAGGTGTTGTTGTTGTTAACCTCCCAATCTCTGTATGTATTGAATGACATAAGAAGTTGGCAAATTGTCTTGTGGGATCATTCATTAAAAAGAAACTGCCCTTCCCTGTTGTTCAAAATATTACTATGCGTCTCTAGAAAACAGACAGTATCTTTGAAGTTATGATGAATGATAAGGGGTTTTATTTTTTTTTAAATTCACTGATGAAAATCTTATGGTGAAATGCATTGAGGATGGCCATTGGTTACTGCAGAACATGCCTATCTTGTTGCAATGGTGGTGTCCTAGTATGGTCCTTAACAAAGAATCACCTAGATTTATTCCACTATGGTTCAAGTTATTTGATCTACCTATGGAATGTTGGAACCATGATGCATTAAGCTTTATTACTAGTGGTATTGGAAAGTTATTGGCTCTCGATAGAATTACTAAAGATACATGCACTCGTGGGGCTGGTAGAATTGGGTTTGCTCGTGTCCTCATTGAAGTGATGCTACTCGTAAACTTCCGAAAATGGTGCGTGTGTGCCTTCCTCTGGAGGATTCTAATAAACCTCTCTCTGTGGATGTTAGAGTTGAGTACCAATGGAGACCATCCCAATGTGATAAGTGCCAAATGTTCAGCCATAGAGTCTTTTCTTGCCCTCTGCAAGTCCAATAGTCGTCCTTGGTACATATTGAATCTCCTCCTAAGGAAACAATTGATAGTGAAGGGTTTCAATCTATGGCTAAGAAAAATAAAGGTAAACGTCTGTCTATGCCTACTAATCAAGTTATTTCTCCTGTTAATATAACTTCCCCTACACCCCCAAAGTCCCCATCTTTGTAGGATACTCCTACACAGGATAATGTTATGAACCAGAATCCTTTCCATTATCTCTTTGATTAGTATGAGGATCACCACACTATGGCTTCCTGTCCACCTACGAACAACCCTTCGGATGATCCTAATGAACAGGAGATGCATGCCTCCAATGTGGAAGATGATCCTTCCTCTATGGCCCACTATTTGCAGGAAAATGATAAGCTCTTGGTTGTGAATGGTAGTGCAAATGGCAAGAAAGCTAGGACCACTTCTTCTCCTCCATCTCCTAAACATGATTAATTTAGGCTACTGGAACATTCTAGGTTTTAACCAACTGCTCAAACAAAAGGAAGCTCAGCTCTTCCTCAATAAGAGACAAATTGGGCTCTATGCTCTCTTGGAAACCAGAGTCTCGTTGTCCAATTGTGATGCTATTTTCAATAGTGTTTTTCATAACTGGAAGTAGGAATCTTATTTTTCCTTATGTTCCCGGGGATGCAGAATTGTCCTTGGCTGGAACCCTGATATCTACTCTATTAATATTTGTGGAAAGACTAATCAAGTTATCCATTGTCATGTGAAAATGATTGATGGCTTTCTCTCCTTTTTTTTCCTCTTTTGTTTATGTAGCTAATAATTACTTGGAGCGCCATGATCGTTGGAATTATCTTATCCGTTTTAAGCTAGATATACGTTCTTCTCCATGGTTAATTTTAGGAGACTTTAATGTTGTCTGTGACTGTAGTGAAAGTTTGGGGGGTACCTCTTCTGTTTCATCTGGAATGAGAGATTTTTGTCTTTGTCTAGATAGGTTGGAAATTGATGATACTAATCAAGTAGGATTATCTTTTACATGGAACGGCATGGAACTGATGGAATTCTGAGAAAGCTTGATCGGGTCATGGGAAACTTACCTTTTGCTGAAGCTTTCCCTCGACTTATGCTTTTTTCTATCCCCAAGGCATCAATGATCACTGCCCCTCTGTTACTTTTTTCCCTTAAAGTTTCCCTTTCAAGCCTCGGTCGTTCAAGTTCTTCAACCTTCTTTTTTTAAACAAGAGTTTCTCTCGACAGTTAAACAGGTATGGGATTCTTTTATGCAGGTAACCCAATGTTCTCCTTGGTTATGAAGCTCAAAGCTCTTAAGCCTTGTATTAGGAGACTCAAAAGACAGGTTGCAAATGTTGAACAGAAAGTCTTGATTTTAAGAAAAGAGGTTGAGCAACTCCAACGTGCGATTGTTCTCAAGCCTTATAATCGAGATCTTTGAGCCTATGAAGCTGCCTTTTCGATAGCTTGTAATGCTACTCTGTTGGATGAAAAACGATTTTTAAAACAAAAAGCAACAATTCATTGGCTCAATGTTGGTGACAATAACTCTTCTTACTGCCACGAGTCTTTGAAGTGTCTTCAGAACAAGCAAAGAGTTGAACGCATCTTCTCTGAAGAGGGAGAGACTATTTAAGGGCCTTAATTACCTGGAGCTTTTTTTTCTTTCTATCAAAAGCTCCTAGGAACCTCTAAACCACTAAACATGTTGTAAACCCTTGAGGATTTATTTCTCACTGAAGCGTCTCATCACCAAAAGGATTTCATGGTTCATCCCATTTCTAATGATGAAATTAAAAGGGCAATGTTCAGTATAGGTGACGATAAGTCCCCTGGGCTAAATGGCTTTATTTCTAAATTCTTCAAGGCTACTTGGGATGTTGTTGGGAAAGATACTTGTAGAGCAATCTCTAATTTTTTCACTCATAGGCGTCTTCTGAAGGAGGTGAACTCTACCTTTATAGCATTTGTTCCTAAAAAGAATACCCCTTCCTCTGTCACTGATTATTGCCCTATTTCTTGCTGTAATGTTTTATATAAATGTATTTCTAAAATCCTTGCTGACAGAATCAAAGGTTTCCCTGGGCAAATTGTTGATTCTACTCAGTCCGCTTTCATTCCAAGAAGAAAGATTAGCGATAATGTCCTTCTTGCTCAAGAAATCCTTAGAAATTACCATCTTGATAAGGTTCCTCCCCGGCGTGTTCTCAAAGTGGACATTCAAAAAGCATATGACATGGTTGAGTGGAATTTTTTATTTGATGCGCTGGAGTTATTTGGTTTTCCTTCTCAGATGATCCTTTGGATTAAAGAATGTGTTACTTCTCCTTCTTATTCTGTCTCCTTAAATGGTGAGCTTCATGGATTCTTTAGAGATCAAAGGAGGCTTCAGCAAAGGGATCATATTTTGCCATACCTATTTACTATTGTTGTGCATGTGTTCTCTCTATTGCTTAATAGAAGGATAAAAGACAGCGAAGGATTCAAATTCCATTTTTTATGTACTTCTCAAGAGATTTTTCATCTTAGCTTCGCTGATCACCTGGTTTTGTTTTGCTATGGCAACTCTAGCTTTGTTCAGTTATTGAAAGATGCCTTAGATGAATTTTCGAAGTTGTTAGGTCTCTACCCCAATTTAGCAAAAAGTTATATTTTTATTGGCAATGTCAGTTAAGAGCTTTAAGCCCTTTTCAAAGGTATCATGAGCTTTTCTGAGGGCCATCTTCCTGTCAGATACTTGGGTGTTCCATTCATTATAGATAGACTTAAGTACAATGATTGCCTTCCTCTGATTGAGAAAGTTGAGTCTAGGTTACAATCCTAGAAAAATAAGAGCTTATCTTATGCAGGGAAACTCCAACTTGTCATATTTGTGCTTTCATCTTTACAAGTCTATTGGGCCTCTGTGTTTATTATTCCCAAGGCCATAGAGCGTCTAATGAGGATGTTTCTCTGGTCTAGAAATGAACTTGTCAAAGGCAAAGTCTGTGTGGCTTGGAAGGATGTTTGTGCTCCTAAAGCTAAGTAGATGGAACTCCTGTTTTATGGTTTATCACTTATGGAATGTAGTTTCAGATAGGAATTCTCTCTAGGTGAAATGGATTCATTATATCATACTCTGAGGCCGAAAATTTTGGCAAATTAAAATCCCTTGGGATGCAAGTTGGAGTTGGAGACAAATTCTTAATTTAAGAAAGATGGTTCACAAACTCATTGGGGTATCGGTTTGCATTGGTGAATGCACTTATTTATGATATGATTCCTGGCATCCCCTTGGTCGTCTTGAGGAGATTGTCCCATCTAGAATCTTCTATCAATCAAGATTAGGCTTTAAAGCTAAAGTTAGGTTTAGGAATGGCCTTCTGAATTTAGGTAGGATTACCCTCTCATTTTCAATGAGTCTCCTACACCCATCTATGATCATTCCCATGACCGCACCCCCTAGAGAATTAAAAAAGGCAAGCATGTTTCCTTCTCTTCCTCTCAAACTTG